GCAACGCGTAAAAAGACAGTGTAAGTCATTATAATCCGTAATTATGTCCCTACTGGATGCAACAAATGCCTCGTTTGTAATGGGTTTTAATGTTTATGTCTCGTCGCTCCGGCCGGACACGGTATGTGAGGGGCGTAACATTTCCGTCACACGCTTGAGGTATTCGGCCAATCACAACGCACTGGATAGCTGGGCAATCAGAGCACACCTCGCTTTTCAGACCAATGAGCTTTGTAAAAATCGACAAAAGGCGGGGCATAGAGGAGAAACAATAATGTACAGTATGTGGAAAATAATGTGTTTTTTAACCTTAAACCGCATAAACACATTTCATTACACCAAATAATGTTCTTTTTAGCAACATCATATGACCCCTTTAAAATCACTTCTTCTGTTGTATTGATGCCTTAGAATCTCTTCTGCTGTTAGCAAATTTGGCTTCATTTAAATAGACATTAATCTGTGTTGTTAAATATGTTCAAATAAAGATTTGGTGTAGACATGGTCTTTTGCTTCAAGTATTTGAAACATGAACAAGTTTAATATGTACCATGACCAACATAGAAATTCATTGCTGCAAAAATGTGTAGTCTTTCCTCAGATGACCCTTCTTGAATAAAATGCCTTTTAAATGATTATCAGTTCACAATATCTGTTCTGCCACTCAGATTGCTTTCTTCTAATTAGTTTTGTAAAGTCTTTTCAATATTTTCTAAATTACTTCTTCATGCAGATTAACAGGGTAATGTACAATCAGTAAATTACATTTGTTATGCATTACAACTCAAAGAATAAGCTTGTCAGGATTTTTCACTAAAGGAAGTCAAAACTAAAGTTTAGGATCATAGAAATGTTTTTTTTTTATTTTTTTTTTAGATATAGGCGTATGTATGATTAACAGCGTTTTCAAATGTTTCAGTAAACACAAAAGTGAGATTAGTTGTGCTAAATGCGCAATCGCGAATCGATTTAGGATAGTTGAAGGTTCGCTTTGACAAGCCTTAACCGATTGCGCCCGAAAATTACTAACAGCAGGGTCGGAGTGGGACCATATTTTCAGCCTGGGAGTGTTTAATACCCAATACTAGCCCACTTATGCGTTTCAAAAAGAAAATGCAGATAGATAACAAATGACACACTAAACTTCTTAAGCAAACCTTCTGCAACCAAGCTTATGAATAGGCACAGCTGAAGAATACACCATACAAATTCGATAGTCAATCAATTAAAATGATGAATATCAGACAGCAGTATGGATTATGCTCTTCTATAAAATATTACACCACTGTATAAAAACCTTTTTCTTGTTTTTATGACTTTTCTATCCTAATCTAAGATACTTAATAAACGGAGTAAAATGTAAAATAGAGCACTGCCACAGTAACGAATGCTCTACAGCAGCTGATGCCAGACAGAGGTATTTTGGCACCTGTTCATTTGAGAGGATTAAGGAAAGGAGACTAAGACTTGCTCTAAATGGATTAGGTCACACTGATCTTACCCTCAGGCACCTGTGCTGCAGATGGACACATTTAATGCTTTACGCTCATGCTCTTTTTCAATGGAATTAAAACAAATGTATATAGACTATTACAGTTAAAGCACTTGTAGCATAGTTAAAAAGCATTTGCCAGTCCATATTATAACACTAACCAGATGACCTCACACTCACCCATGATTCAGCAATATTCAAATGTATTTACATAATCATAAACTATGTAAATATTTTTTCTTTCAATTATTAGAAATCCATATGTGAAACTGTATAATTACGCAAGTCCTCTCTCCTGAAATACATTACATAGAGGCTGATTGTTCAAGATATGCCTTACTGTGTGTGTGGATAAAACATGTTTAGCTGCATATGACAGCACTGATTATGATAAACAGGGTGGATCATGGGATTCATACTTACGTGAGATCCTTGTAGCATTAAGCACAGAATTCCATTTTACACGTTCATACCTCACAGCATTTTTTCACATAGCTCACAAGAATGTACCATTGTAGAATCAGGGATGATGAATATGCCAAGTAAATAATAACACAATGCTTAGTCATGTAGTGTTGTTGCTTTAGCTAATTTAAACATGGGCTGAGTTTCCTGAAGCACTTAGTAGATTGTCAGTCACACATAATGCACGTTTCCCAGAATCACTGATATCTACAATAAGTGAAAACATTTATATGTAGCCAAAGTCTCAGACTGCTCATAAGTTCATCTATTGAAACAAAATGGTGGTATTTTAATCCACATTTATTAGCTTTGAAGCCATCTTTATGATGGTAGACTCAAAAAGGTTGACAATTAACTTATAGATATACACATTCAAGAAATACATGGTTGGACTAAAAATATTGACCTGTCTTGCACTACACAGATGTTTATCCAAATCAACTATGATGATCTGAGAGAGTTACTAAAGATTCATGAATTGTTGATTCATAGCTTTATTAGTTCACAAAGTTTTTTTCTTTTTTTAATCCAAATCAAAAACTATATTAAAATGAGAGATCATCAGAGAGAAAGTCATCGATCAATAAAAACTAAATAAGTTGGCTTTAAACAATGAAGCGGAGAGCCTACAAGTCAAACTTTTTAGCACACAAACAAAACAAGATGTCATGTTTATACGCTTCATCTGATGTTCAGTTAAAGATCGTTTGGCAATTATTTTAGCATAATCATCTTTCACTGCTCAATACTGTGATTTATATGTTAATTTTAATGTATAGATTTTCACAGAAAACAAATGCAGCTCGAGGCAGAAAATTCACATTGTGTGTAGACAAACTACCCTCAGAAAATGTACTGCATAAAACCACTAGCTAGTTTTAAACTCGTACCAAAACTTGCCAATGCCAAGAGGCATGTGAAAACTAGGATTTATGCATTTAATTTCAGGGCCTGATCTACCCTAACAGATTTAATACCAATTACATTTATAAATCAAGACGGAAACATTTAAAAATCCTAAACAGCACTTGGTAAACAAGAATGTAATGAACCATAGTTGCATGTCTGTAACAATATAATATGTAGTAGTCTGTATTAAGTGCACATCACCAATAGGTTTCTTAATGCTACAAATGCTACTTAAAGCTCATCTACTCTAAAATATAATTGTAATAAATAAACAGTCACATAGTGCAAAACTAACATAATGTGCTCATCCGCTGTATTTCTACAGTAAAAATAAATGCATAACTGAGATAAAGGAGCGAAAATGCATTTTTCAAATAATCAAGCCCTTAAAATACTGAACGTCAGACAAATTGTGCATGTTGCAAGTTTGTGTTTGGCATCTTTGACATGAGAAAGACTCTGACCAGCCCCTGAGTTTTTAAGGTCCAAAGCTGGTGCTCTGAAGGCAGGGTCCAGGGTGAACATGATGACCAATCATGTCTGAGCCAGGTGAAGCTCCTCCAGACCATCTTTACCCACGTGGTAGCGGGCAAGATCCTTCCTGGTTACCAGTCCCACAACCTTCACATCCAAAGCACAGGGAATTCGAAACTGATTA